GCTTTCTGTAGGAGAAGTGGAGGGGCAGGCAGGGAGGCAGGCAGAGTCTTATCTGCTGCCACTGAACCGTATGTAGATTGAGGCTGTAAAAGCCTTAATTGGATGGAGAAAGGGTTAACCAACTTGTAGTGGCTGCTGCAAAGAGAGAAGATGCTGCCCACTGGCAGTGCAAATAGTTGTGATTAGAGCTGTTTCTAGTCTGACCCCACATGCTCCTCCTGGAAACAGAGGGATGCAGTACAATCCCCCCTCGCTTGCCCTGCAACATGTGGGGTTGGATCAAGAAGGGTTGTGACAAGAGCTTGCACTGCACAGCCACAGCTGCTTCCTGATCTGCCTCCACAGGGAGGCATTTAAACTTGTGTGGGGCATTTAAACTTGGCCACAGTGGCACCCACGTGGTGCAGCACCTCTGGAAGGAGCTCACAGCATCCTGATTGAGAACTCTTTTACACCCGACTGCCCCCACCCCATGGATTCCCAACTCATCCCAAACACTGACACACCTGGCTACGCACCATATTGCCCCCACCAGTCCCCCCACCCGGCCTGACCCTCCTGGCTCTGGTCTCCCATCCTGGCATGGACCCTCAGTGAAGGACTATAGTCTGCCTACCTATGACATTAGTGGTGTTGCAGGTAAAGACAAAGGAGCAGCAGCAAGAGCATGTGGCTTTTTGGGCAAGAGTATGGCAGGGAGCTACAGGGAGCCCCGTGAGCCACAAAGCCCAGAAGAAGAGGTCCCTTCAGGATTTTGTGCTCCTGCTCAGACACTGTGGCCTTGCTATGCTGTCTCTGTGCTTCAACACTGCCTCCATTTCCTTTCTGACCACAGAGCTTGATTGTTGCTCTGGTAGATTTCTGCTTTTATGGATGATACAGTTTTCCAACAGATTTTATGGACAGGCATATTTAGGCTTGATTTTTTTCAGGGAGTATCCGTAAATTTATGAACAGTTCCATAAATTGGAACTTTTCCATCCCTCCCCCAGAGCACTGGGATTGGAAGAGATCTTGGGGAAGGATGACGGCCAGCTACACAGTCAATAATGAGAGCACTCCTTCTCCCGCTCCCCCCCTCCTTAGTTTAGTAAGGGGCCACAAACTGAAATTTGAGGAAAAACCAAAATAATGACTAGCATCAAATAAGGTAGGGGACCTGTGGAAAGAAACAGTGTGTCCATATGAAAAGATTGTATCTTAATCCATATGCACAAGTTTGGAGAATATTAAGGTTGCAGGGACAGCAGTATCCAGACTCAACTTTTCAACTTTACCTATGTTCTTTAAATAAAGATTTGCTTGTGGATTTCCTAGGTTTTTAAATATTCAAATGGCAAAAAACCCAGAATTGCCATGAATGCCGATGTGTTTTGTCAGCAGGCTTGGAACCTTAAGGTCTACCTCGCACACTTCTGCCACTCCAGCAGTTAATGGTAACTGCTGATATTTGCAGTAATAGGTGGGGTGAACAAAAATAGATATATCTATCTAGGTCTATCTACTTGGGTTAGTCTATAGGTGCAAATCTACTCTGCCTTTTACTTGAGTTCAGACTAACATAGTTAACTATGTTTCATAGTAATGGGTTGCCAGCTTCAGTGTGGATCAGCGTTAGGGGGAAAGATGCCCTCTCTGGAGTTGGCTTCATAGACATTTGCTAGCAAAAAAGCATTGTGAGACTCAGAAATTTTGGGTGGTATTCCAACCTTTTGAAGGGAAGTGTGCTCAGGCTTTTCTCCTCTTTAAGTCTGACCACTTCTCTCCAGCCTCCCAGGCTTTCCCAGCCTCCACTTCCATTCCTCCTGTAACATTTTAGCAGTGAAATTCTAGCATGTTTCTACTGAGCATGAGCAAACTATGATTTTCCCCTGCTTCCCATAGGTACATAGATTTTCCATATTTAAGTGAGTTTTCATGTGGCAAAAACCACATCCTTGCCAAAAAAACCCCAATCTCCTTTGCCAATTCTCAAGTCTCTCCACCCTGCAAAGGGGTGGGGTTACTGGACATTCTCAGGGAAATGCCACTACTTTAGTGTCCACCACCTTTGTTCTGGGAAAAAAGCGAAATTGTTTTGGTTACAATGTGCTCAAGTGTGTGGAAGAATCATGAGAAATAGTTATATTTAGAGAACTCCTGGCAGTTAGAGAGGAAAGTAACTTTTTGTTCCCAAGGTAGCGATTTTGTTTATTTGTGTGGGTTGCATTGTAGGTGCTGTTTTGAATGCTAATGAATGATTTATGTTGGAGTGCAGTTCAGGAGTAGAAGTGGAACTTGAAGGAAGAGTTGCTTAGGCATTGCCAGCTCTTGAGGTGAAGAGCTAAAAAGGAGCCTGTATTCAGATTCAGAACATGTGGAGAACCATACCTGGCACACGTGTTTCTGAGTGCAGGTTTGCAGACTAACACGGAATGTAACCACTTTGACTGTACCACAGGGTGGAAGCATAATGAGCAGTTCTGTGTCCTGGACAGGGCAGCAGCCACAGCTGAGCTGATGATGGCGACTTGGCAGCCAGGAAAGCAGCAGCAGTGCCTAATATTTTTGCATCCTCACTTCTGGTTGCAACCCTTCTTAGTTACACTACTGCTGCAGGGAGTTTCTTGGATGGGTTTTTGTGCTAGTATGTCTGTTCCTCATGCAGGAGACATAGGAGATGGGGATGATACAGTCATCACTAGCCAGTAGCATAACATGAATATTTTAGTAAAACTACCAGTGCAAACCCGTGTTAATTTTTCTTACTCACTTCTTATATTGTTGTAGGCCAAAACACCTTTCTGAGTTGCTTTGGTTGTATTCATTAATTGTGTTCATGCAGCTTTACAACCATCAGGATCATTTTTTTTCAACATTTATATTCACCCAAAACAATTTCATAGTGTGAGAGTAGCTCTTTTCCTGTAAATTGATGTATTTTAAGCTTAAGTCAAAAGAGCCATGTTGATTTTTTTTCAACAGCTGAGGACCTAGTTCTAGATGTTTAGTCCATTTGTGATGCAAAAAATTGATGCTGAGTTTCCAGACTGCTGCCTTAGTTCATTCATTTTTTATGGGTTTCTAGCAGCAGACTGGCTGTATGGCCAGAGAAAGGTAGCTGGCCTTTGAATTAATATAAAAGAAATAAAAACATTTTTGATGTGTTTACTACAAAGAATAGCTTAGTAGAAAATAAAGAGTACACAAAGGCACCAAATTAGAAAGAGTAATAGGTGATTTTTTTCCCAAGTTCTGAGTCATAGAGCTTTAGCATATCAGTTGAATGTCATTCAAACAATTGGTTGACACTGTAAACTAGGATAACATGCTGAGGAAAACTCTATATACCTCTTTTTTGCTGTGTTTGTTTTTAAGTTGTATGTTAAATATTATTTTTTAATTATATTGATACTTACTTGTCCCACACTTTTCATGAGCTGTGAATTCAAGTAAGCATTTTATGTGATCTACATTTGTATGCAAAATCTTGTGCATGGAATTACTCAAAAGAATTTCACTAGGAAATAGTTTAATCAGAAATGTAGTTTCGTCAGAATGTAAGTATATTGTGGGAATGAGTTGGGTTTGACAAAATTTCCATTTTAAAATTTTAAGTTGTTTTGTGTGTAGTTTTATATTTTGGTGAAAGTAATTTTAAAAAATAATTACTTAATATCCTGGGTCTTCATCATCAAAACAAAATGATTCAACCAAAATTTGTCGAGAGCTTTTAGCTGAAACTTCTCTGAAATGCAATTGCCTGGAATATATTGAAATTATGGCTCTTTGTTCTGATATAGAATGAAAACAAATTGGACCTGTTGGAGATTACCTGCAGAATGGAAGGCTGGTTGGTGATCACCAATGTCTGTGTTCTTTGTAGGTGAAAAAAATTAGTGATTTGCCATCTTTAACTGTTCTTGGCATTTTGTGGCTGTTGAAATATTAGAATCTACAATATCATAAAGGTTGTCCTTAGGGTAGAGTGCATTTGGATGTTTAGAAGCACTGATACAGCGTGTATGGAATAGTTCTACCACATAAAATATTTATATATAGTTTTAAGGGCCTGGCTTGGTGGAGCGAGGAGAATCTATTTGATAAAAATGCATAGAATGATTTTGTCAGGTGGTATATGAAAAACATATCACAGTAGCAGAGTTATAATTTGCATAGTTTTTCAATTGTTTTTTGTCTCTAAACCACAGCGGATTAACTTTGTTTCATTACAAAGTAACTCTTATATCCACACCATCAATGCCAGTGGGGCAGAGGTGTAATGATATTCACAACCAAACTTGCTATATAACTGAACATACAAATACTAGAACTCTTGGTTCCAATATGATACCGTTTATTAGATCAACTGGAAAACGGCTAGAAAATTGTCCTTTTCTGCATGCTTT